GATGTCGCTGTCTCTTTCCCACTGCTTGTCCAGTTAGGACCACCCTATCCATTAGGGCTTTGGCTTTGAAGGGTTAACAGGAGCTGAGGGGGAGCATTCCCTGCCCCCAGTGACGGGTCAAGGAATATGGGGCAAGGGAGGGTAATTGGATTTGAGTTGTAGATCAGCCATAAACTTATAGAATGATGGAAGAGGCTCGAGGAGCTGAACGGCCTTCTCCTGTTTCTTAGTTCCCTCAACGTTTTGAACTCAAAGGAACACAAACTGGGGTGGTGGCGGAGGGGAAGAGGGTGTGGAGGTGAGGTGAATAAGAGCCTAGAAGTAGATTAGATCAGTGTTTCACAAACTATCTTCTCTGGAGTTCTCTTTTTAGGAAACACAGAATAATTAAGGCTGAATTTAGCCGTTAGCCACATTCTGCACTTTCCAAGAACAGGTCATGTAAATTTACACCATCAACTACCCTTTATCGTTTGTCAGCCGGTGTCTGACACACACGGAAACCCGTCACAATGATCAGCCGGGTGTCTGACACAGACGGAAACCCGTCACCGTCCGGCCGGGTGTCTGACACACACGGAAACCCATCACCGTGATGGGACCCCAAATGTAGGTGGGATTCTTTGGAACTCACTGTCTGATGTTTGGTGTTTGATGCAGGCACAGAATAGGACGACTGGGATCCTGGCAGCGGCCAAGGTGATTGTGACGTATGATGAGGAGGATCTGGAGGACTATATGGTGGAGATCGAGATTTTGGGCTCGTGCCGTCACCCCAACATCGTTAGGCTGTTGGACGCCTTCTACCACCAGCGCAAACTGTGGGTGAGTGTGGAGAGGGGGAGAGGTTGGGAGGTGTCAGGGAATTAAGGGATTTGAAGATGAAGATGATCCCATGGAATGAGGGGCTTTAGTGACGAGAATTCGGGGTTGAATTTGTTGGGCAAGTTTCCTTCCTCCACACACTCTGTTTACCCAGTAAATAAGAACAAGGTTGTTAGTCGATTGGTGATTGATGAGTCGATTTCCAATAATCCCTTCAAAAAATAATAATTTGGTCACTCAATCCACGGCTGTTTGTGGGGACACAATTGGCTGCCATGTTTCGCCCACAAAATACAGAGTCAATTAATTTTACAGTATATCGTGTGAAGCGCTTTGAGACATCTAGAAGACGTGATAGGGTGCTATATCAACTGCAAGGCTTATTATTACCCCCCCCAAGCCTTGACTCTTGCCGCCTAATACTCTCTGGAACTTTTCACCCAAGTTACTGATGTCTAAACAGTGGCTGGAACAGAACAGGTTAATTCAGGATAAAAATTATATCCGATGGTTTGACAAACGATTTGGACTAAACTATGTCTCATGAATATGAATCACAAAAACTCAAGAGAGAGAATTAAACAGCGCAAGCGAGCGAGAGACACACACACACAGACTGAGAGGACAGAAAGAGAGAGACAGGCAGAGACAGACTGGGAACAGAGAGAGACATACAGACAGACTGAGAGACAGAGAGAGACATACAGACAGACTGAGAGACAGAGAGAGACATACAGACAGACTGAGAGACAGAGAGAGACATACAGACAGACTGAGAGACAGAGAGAGAACAAAGAGACAACAACAACAACAACAAGATTCCATTTATAAAGCGCCTTTCACGTCAGGAGGACGTCCCAAGACGTCCCAAGACGACACTGAGAGAGAAATAGAGACAGAGAGAGAGAGGAGCACAGGGTAATCTGCACAACATTAGAAGATGTAAATGTATAAACTGTGACATTCACAACCCCGCTTTCACCTCACTGAGCAATGCTCATTACAGTTGCTTTTTTAGAGCACTATTATTGCACATCTTCTCTTGCATGCCCTCTCCTCTTCCCCCTCCTCTCTCTCCTCTCCCCCCTCCTCTTGAACCCCCTCCCTCTCTCTCCTCTTCTCCCTCTCTCCTCTTTCCCCCTCCTCTTTTCCCCTCTCTTTCCTCTTCCCCCCTTCTCTTCTCCTCCCCTACTCCATCTCTCTCTCCTCTTTCCCCTTCTCTCTGTCATCTCCCCTCTGCACCCCTTCTCCTCTCCCTCCATCTCTCTCTGTCCCCTATCCACCTTCTCTCTCCTCTTCTCTTCTCATTTGCCCCCCCTCTCTCTCCCCTCTCTCTCTCTCTTCCTCTTCTCTCCTCCCATCTCTCACCTCTCCTCCCTCTCTCTTCTCTCTCCCATCTCCTCTCTTCCCACCTCTCTCTCCCCTTTCACCCCTCTCCACCCCCTCTTTCTCTTTCCTCTCCCTCTCCCTCTCTCTTTCGCTCGTTCCATTGGCTTTGACTCTGCTCTGCCCAGTGTCAGACAATCCCAGCGCAGAATGGCGGATCAGGCTCAAGGGGCTGAATGGCCTCTTCCTGTTCCTAAGGTCGTAAATTGAAAACACAATAATCCAGTCATTCAATCCACGACTGTTTGTGGGACACTAGTCTGTGCAATTGGCTGCCGCATTTCGCCCACAAAAATACAGTCACTACACTATACAGTGTATTCTGTGAAGTGCTTTGAGACGTCTCGAATTCAAGATCCTCATCCTCACCTACAAGGCCATTCACGGCCTCACTCCCTCCTATCTCTCCGACCTACTATCCCCCTACTTACCTGCCCGTACCCTCCGTTCCTCTGCTCCACGTCCCCCGCCCCAACCGCCCTACCATCGGTGGCCGGGCCTTCAGACTCTCAGCCCCGAGGCTCAGGAACTCCATCCCCAGTGCCTTCGCCGCTTCCTCCCTTTCCTCCTTCAAGGCCGGTCTCAAGACCTTTCTCTTCGACCGTGCCTTCAGCTCCGCTCTCGACTCTCTACCCCCTCCTCGCTCGCTCCCTTCCCGCCCCTCACCCTGACCATTTCCCCCCTCCTCGCTCCTTCCCTCTCCTCACCCTGACCATTTCCCCCCAATGCTCGGGTCCTGACCCAACTGTTCAGCGCCTTGGGACATCCTCCCGACATGAAAGGCGCTCTATAAATGGAATCTTGTTGTTGTTGTCTCAGCAACGTGATAAGGCGCTGTATCAAATGTGAGGATTATTATTCTAAGCGGAGTCAGTGTGAGTCGCTGAGAGCTGTGTGTGAGAGTTCTCTGCTCTGTCTCTGCCTCTGAGTCCATCACCATCTCAGCCTGACCTCCTGCTCCCAGCACCACAGGATGCCCTGCTAATGGGGTCAGAGCCTACACACGTCAAACACACACTGATATCACAGTGCTCATCCGTACTCCCAAACATGCCATATATCTCTCTCTCTCTCACTCGCTCACTCAGTCACTCAATCACTCAGCCGTTCACTCACTCACTCACTTGCTCACTCGCTTTCTATCACCTTTTAGGCTTGGCACTAACAGCGAGCTGTGTGTGAGAGTGTGTTGAGTGTGTGTTGAGTGAGTGTGTATATATGTATGTGAGTAACCAGCAGAGGACAGCAGTGACTGCGTGTGTGGTGCTGATGAGAGTAGATGGAGACGGAGACAGAGTGAGAGTGAGAGCATCTCAGTAGCCAGCAATGTGCTGAGCCACACATTGTGTGGAACCCGGGCAGAGACAGCACAGAACAGGAGCCACTGAACACACTCACCAGCCTCGCTGACACAGTTAGTGACCGTTCTCGATAAGTGTATTCCGTGAAGACTTTGAGACGTCTCGAAGACGTGATAAGGTGCAGTGTCAAACGTGAGATCATTATTTTTATCGGTGTTCTCTTCTCTGCTTTACTGCGGACGCTGTATGCAAAGCGAGCTGGGTGGGAGAGTGCAGTGTTTTACCTAAACAATCCCAGAGGTTGTGGGTTTGAGCGCCCCCCCCACCCTCCACCTTTCCCCCGCACCCCCCCACATATCGGGGACTCTGAGACACAGTTCAGGCTGACATTCCAGCCCAGCACTGGTGGGGGTGGGTGGGGAGGGAGAGAGAGAGAGCGCCGGATTGTGGGAGACGCCATCCTTTGGGTGAGACGTTAAACCTCACCCACTCCCCATCTGTGCCCTATTCAGGCGACGTTAAAGATCTCTCCTGCGGCGCTGTTGGGAAAAGGGAGTTTTTCTCTCTCTCTCTCTAGGTGTCCTGGCTGACAATTCCCCAGATAAAATCGCTCGCTTGCTTCACGGCTGCTTGCGGGGACGTCGCTCAGCGTAAATTGGCTGCCGTGCTCGCCCCCAAAGTACACAGTCACTATATATTACAGTGAATCCTGTGAGACGCCCTCCTGATGTAACAGGCGCTGCATTAAATCCAGGGATTATTCAATTTCCGGGAAAGATGCAGATATCGTACGTTATAGGCTGAGGTTTGGGAACAAAATTCCGAACTCCAGGTTGACTCACAGAATGATTTCTCTCCTCCACAGAAAACTGGGGAGAAGCGATTTGTAGGTAAGATTTGGCAGTCTGTGTGTTAGAGCTGTGTGTGTGTGTGTTGGGGGCATGGGTATGGGCATGTGTGTGGGGGGGGTTGGGGGGCAGGTGTGTGTGTCTGATCTTCATTTCTGTCTGTGTTTTTCTCAATCTGTAGGAAGGAACTGATCAGGACCTAACACACGCGGAGTGGAACCAGTACAACCCAGAGAGTGAGACAGAGAAGGGAAAGAAGGAGAGAGGGAAAGAGAGGGGAGTGAGAGAGAGAGAGAGAGGAAGAGGAAGAGGGTGGAGAGAGAGACAGAGGGAAAGAGGGAGAGCGAGCGAGGGGGTTGGGGGGGCGAGAGAGAGAAACGGGGAGAGAGAGAGAGAGAGAGAGGGAGAGTGAGAAAGAAGGGGAAGAGAGAGAAGAGACCAAGAGAAAGAGGGGAAGGGAGATAAAGTGAGAAAGAGGGGGGGAAGACGAGGGTGGGGTGGGAGAGAGAGAGCAAGGGCGGTGAGTGAGGAGTGAGGGCCAGCCAGGATGGGGGAGGGGAATGGGGCAAGGGAAGCGAGGGGGGAGCAGCCAGCGATGGGGGTGGAGCTGCACACCGAGCCCTGGGGGGTGGGGCCCACAATGGGGGCAGAGCCACGCACCGAGCCCTGGGGGGTGGGGACAGTTGACAACAACACAGTGGTGTATGAGTTGGCATTGGGGGGCGGGGCTGTTGGTGGCTCGGGATTCACGGGGGTGGAGCTGATCGATGGCCTGAAGCCCCTCCTACTGCCCGGCTATGCCCTGTTGGTGATGGTGGGTCTCTTGGGCAACTCCCTCCTCCTCCACGTCATCTGTCGCAGTCGCAAGATGCACGGAGTCACCAACTTCTTGATTGCCAACCTGGCACTGGCAGACCTGCTGATGTGTGCTGCCTGTGTGCCCTTCACCCTCGCCTACGTCTTCAACCCGCGAGGCTGGGTGTTTGGCAGCTTCCTGTGCTACTTTGTGTTCCTCATGCAACCCGTCACCGTGTATGTCTCTGTCTTCACATTGACCGCAATCGCTGTGGACAGGTTGGTATTGGGACCTCGCTCCCCCACTAAATCCCATTCCCTGCGCTCTCTCTCCCTCTCTCCCCCCATCATGCCTGTGCTGTGCTCAATCCCCCACTGGAGCTCTCTGCTCTAACCCCATTTCCTGCTCTCCCTCTCTCTCTCCCCCTCTCTCTTCCCATCACAGTCCCCCGTAGTGTAGTGGTTAGAGCGCTTGCTTCACGAGCGAGAGGACTGTGGTTCGATTCCCGGGCAGTTAGGCAAGTTTCCTTACTCCACACACACGCCTCTATTTACCAATAGTAAGTGGAAACCCAGTTGTTAGTGGATTGGCAGATTGCTTTTCTGGGGGTAATAATCCCTTCAAAATATTAATAATAATTTGGTCATTCAATCCATGGCTGTTTGTGGGTACGCTGCTGTGCGCAATTGACTACTGCGTTTCGCCCACAAAATACACAGTTGAACCCCCTTCAATATATCCTGTGAAGTCCTTTGAGACGTCCCAACGATGTGATAAGATGCTTTACCACGTGGAAGGATTATTATCGTCACTATGCGCAAATTGGCTGCCACATTTTGTCCACCACACGCAGTCACTACGCTTCACAGCGAATCCTGGAGTGGTGGAACGGAACAGGCTCGAGGGGCTGAATGGCCTCCTTCTGGCCCCAGCTTCCACGGTAACTTGTTTTTTTTTTGCTGTTCGGTCAGATACTATGCCACGGTGCACCCACTGAAGAAACGCCTGTCGATGGGCGGGTGTTGGCAGGTGGTGGCGGGGGTCTGGCTGCTATCAGGGGCACTAGCTGCCCCCGCCCTCGCCCACACATACCACGTGGAGCTGCCCGATGCCAGGCTGACCATTTGTGAGGAGTTCTGGGTGAAGAGGGAGCGAGAGAGGTTGGCCTACGCCTACAGCACGTTGATCATCACCTACATCCTGCCCGTCTCTGCCGTGGCGCTGTCCTACCTCCGCATCACCATCAAGCTGAGGGGTCGGGTTCTGCCAGGGACCGGGATACACAACCAGGAACGCTGGGAGCGCGTACGAAGGAAAAAGATCTTCCGACTGCTTGTGCTGCTGGTCACCGTGTTCGGTGCCTGCTGGCTCCCACTTCACCTCTTCAATATCGTGCGCGACGTAGACATTAACCTGATCAGCAAGGACTACTTCAACCTGCTGCAGTTACTGTGCCACTGGCTGGCCATGAGCTCAGCCTGTTATAACCCGTTCCTCTACGCCTGGCTTCACGATCGCTTTCGAGCCGAACTACTCAAAATGTTCGCCTGCCGTAAGAGGGTGGTCCCAGCGACCAGTCACTGTGCCGATGTCAGTGTAGTAATGTAACTCCTCCGCATTCCCACGCACCCCCCAACCAGATCATCTCCCCCTCCCCCTCACCTTCTCTGTACACTCCTCTACTGCCTTCCCTCCACCCCCAACCAGGCCATTGTGGAGTCCTGTAGCTCAGTGGTTAGAGCCCTCGCCTCGCAAGCGAGAGGACCTGGTTTGATTTCCGGGTCAGGTCAGGGCGAAACCTTAGGCAAGTTTCCTGCTCCACACACACACAGACGCACACGCGTGCACACGCCTCTGTTTACCAGTAGTAAATAGGAATCTGGTTGTTAGTCGATTGGTGGATTGCTTTTCCGGTGGTAATAATCCCTTTAAAATAACTAAATAAATAATAATAATTTGGTCACTCAATCCACAACTGTCTGTGTGACGCTGCTGTGTGCAATTGGCTGCCGCGTTTTGCCCACAAAATATACAGTCAATTCAATTTACAGTTGAAGCGCTTTGAGGCGTCTCGAAAACATGATAAGGCATTGTATCAAATGCGAGAATTGTTATATTATTAGTGTTTATTCTTTATTGTTACTATTATGTTGTTAATGTTATTATTTATTATTGTTATTGTTCATTATTATTGTTTATTGTTGCTATTATGTTGTTATTGTTATTATGGGGAGAGCACTGTCTGAACTTAATGCAGGAAAAATCCTGCGCGATTAAAGAATTGATGTGCTGTTTTTTTTGACCAGTCGGGTGTCTGACACACGCGGAAACCCGTCACCGTGACCGGCCGGGTGTCTGGCACACACAGACACACACACACTGAGCTGGGCTGACACACACACATAGACCCTGTATACCCTAATGTCACTCCCTCATGTTCTTGGATCACTCCCCACAGGAAATAGTGTTTATCCTCTCAGACATTTCCTTTGCGATAAAGAAATTGCAGGGCGAGAGGGAGGGAGCAAATTGCAGAACTTGATGTGAATAAAGATTATTATTATTTGGTTCATTGAGTTCACTCCACTGCACCCCACTCTCAGCCCCAACAATTGCAAACTTCTATCCACACCAGTGGAAGCAATAACCCTCACAGTGCTTCACTGTAAAGTGTAGGGACTGTGTGTTATGTGAGCGAATGCGCAGTCAATTTGTCCCTGCAAACAGCCGTGAAGCGACTGAGCGATTTTATCTGGGGTGGGGAATTGTCGGCCAGGACACAGAGAGAGAGAGAGCGCGAGAGAGAGAAACTCCCTTCTCTTTTTCCAACAGCGCTGTGGGGGATCTTTAACATCCTCCTGAACAGGGCACAGATGGAGAGTGAGTGATGTTTAGCGTCTCACCCGAAGGACTGCGTCTCTGACAATGCGGCTCTCACTCCCCCCTCTCTCTCTCTCCCCAGAGACTTTAGCTGGAAGCTGGTAACTCGTATGTAGACACCAGGGCAGAAGGGCCTCGCACTGTCCTCTCCGAAGCTCACCATCCCTTTCTTCAGAAGCACCCTATTCCAAACAACAAGGTGTGTGTTATCTCTGCTGTGTGTGTGTCTCACTTTGTCTCCCTGTGTTTGTCTCCTCTATCTCTGGTCCTCAATCCACAACTGTTTGTGGGACACTGCTGTGCGCAATTGGCTGCCACATTTCGTCCATAAAATACACAGTTGCTACAACAACAACACACAATTACATCTGTAAAGTGCCTTTTATGTTGGGAATACGTCCCAAGGCACTGGACAGTCAGTATTTCGGATGCGAGTTAGGGGTCAAAATTGGAAAGGGTGGAGGGCAGTGGGAGGGAAAGAAGGTGACCTAAGGCACGGTCGAAGAGAAGGGTCTTGAGACGAGTCTTGAAGGAGGCAAGGGAGGGGGCGAGGCGAAGGGACTGTGGGATGGAGTTCCAGAGGGTAGAGTGGCTGAAGGCCTGTCTGGCCACTACACTCTACAGTATATTCTGTGAAGCGCTTTTAGATGTCTCGAAGACGTGATAAGGCGCTGTATCAAACACAAGGATTATTATTATCTGTGGGCCAGGACAAGGGGAGCTGAGAGTCAGTCAGATACACTACGGAGGTCGCACAGGCCAACACTCTAGCCAAACGTCAGCCAGGAAATTCTGGCATCCGAAGGGGGAATGCGCCCCACCCACTTGCCTGCCCGTCTGCTCGCTCACTCCCTCGTTGCCTCACACCTGTGTCGAGTTACAGGCTAAACCAGTTTCAAGCTTTGCAGATTGACTCAGCTGATATTGAGTAAGAGGAGGCCATCAGTGTTAAGCTCAGGCCCTGTCTGTCTGCCTCAGTTCCTCTTGTCGTGTACACAAGCCATAACTCACTGGAAACTCTTGGTATTTCATAGCCAGGCTCGCAACAACAACAACAATTTGCATTGACCCAGCGCCCCCCCCCCCTCACGTAGTGTAGCGTCCCAGAGCGTTTCACCGAGTTGGGGTGAACGGGATGAACGTAGGCACGGTCGAAGAGGAAGGTCTTCGGTTGTCATCTGAAAAAGGGGAAGGAAGGGGCAAGGCGGAGGAAGGGATAGAGGGAGAGTGTTCTAGAGTTTTGGGGCGTAGTGGCTGAAAGTGCGGCGGCTGATGGTGGAACGGAGGGCACGAGGGACATGCAGGAAGCCAGAGCCGGTCGAGCGGAGGCAGCCGGTAGCAGTTGGGGAGTGAGCAGGTGAGAGAGGGTAGGGAGGTACCAGGACATGAAGGCACTTGTAAATGACTGAGAGGATCTTGTCACACACTACAGGGTCAGGAGGTTGTGTGTATGTTTGTTTGTTCTGAACCCCTTAACCCCACCTGACACATACGTCAGAGGCTTTGAGCTCACAGTCCAGGCTCCAGTGCTGTGTGTGTGTGGGATGGGGGGTGTGGTCAAAACAAACAAACAAACAAACAAACAAACAAGAGGAAGTGCTTCATTGTTAGAGACACAGTCACTTTTACATTACAATTCTCGCCTCCCAACCGAGAAGATCCAGGTTCAAATCCCAGGCAGGTCAGGGAGAAACGTTAGGCACGTTTCCTTACTCTCACACACACACACACACACACCTCTGTTTATCAGCAGTCAGTAGGAGCCCAGTTGTTAGTCGATGGGCAGATCACTTTTCCAGGGGTGATAATTCCTTCAAAAAAAATAAAATAATGATAATAATTTGGTCACTTCAATCCACAACTGTTTGTGTGCAATTGGCTGCCGCGTTTCGCCCACAAAATACAGTCACTACACTATACAGTGTATCCTGCGAAGCGCTTTGAGACGTCTCAATGACGTGATAAGGCACGTAAATTAATCAAATGTAAGGATTATTATTATATCAAATGTTAGGATTATTTATCGACTTCATCACACAGTCACTACACTTAACAGCAATGGCCCCGCCCCCAGCCCATGGCCCCGCCCCCAGCCCATGGCCGTAGGTGCGCAGGAGGAGAGAATGGTTCTGCCCCAACGGGAGGGTCCGGGGCACCCGGTGACGTCACGGCAACAAACAAAGGGGGCGGGGCCTTAACCTGGCGAGAGGCGGGGCTGGCGCCAGAGGGCGGGGCTGCGAGAGTGATTGACGTGCGGTACAGCCAATGGGGAGGCGATGGGCATCAATGTATCGGTTTCACTCAATCAGGTGGAAACATTGTATCGGGAGTTCGGAAGTGAGTCAGAGATCAAAGGTTCCCCTGTGTCACTGTCTGTGTCACCCCCTGTGTCACTGTCTGTGTCACCCCCTGTGTCACTGTCTGTGTCACTCTGTCTGTCTCCGCCCCCATCCCCCACTCCCACAAAAAAACCTCCCAATTCACACTCAATCACCTTCAAAACAGTTTTTTTTCTGCACCTCCCCCCCCCACACCCTCCCACATAAACAAAGATTCCCCACCCCCAAAGTTCTCTCTGTCGCTCTCTGTGCGCATCCCCCAAAAAACTCGCAGTTCGCACTGAATCACCTTCAAAATTTGTATTGTTTTCCCACCATCTCTCCTCTCTCTCTGTCTCTGTCTGTCTCACCCCCAACATAAACAAAGATTTCCCCCCTCAAAAAATAGCTGTAACTTTATTTATATAAAAATATACAGTATCTATATCAGAATCGGTTCTTGGTTTGATGTCTGAAGATGAGAAGCTGTAAGTTGTTCTGAGAAAGACAAGAGGAGCGGTTGGACACTTGTGATGTTGGGTTTCTGAGAAGGCAGCAGAGATCAGGTAAATCTTTTAATTATTGTTGGGTCGTTGTAGCTGGTTTTACCCGCTGTGAGGTGAGCGAGAGAGTGTGCGTGTGTGTGAGAGAGAGAATGTTTAAGTGAGACAGTGAGAGAGAGCGAGAGAGAGTTTCAAAGAGTGTGAGTTAGTTTGAGAGAGAGTCAGGAAGAGAGTTTGTGTGTGTGAGAGAGAGTGAATGTCTGTTTGTGTGAGAGGGAGAAGAGAGTGTCAGTGAAAGAGAGAGAGTTGGGCTGATCGGAGTTGGACTCGATTTTAAAAGGACATCAAACATCGGAGAGACAGAAACAGAGAGGTGGGGGAGAGACAGAGAGAGGGGGAGAGACAAAGAGAGGGGGAGAGAGAGAGGGGGAGAGAGAGAGAGAGGGGGAGAGAGAGAGAGAGAGGGGGGAGAGACAGAGAGAGAGAGAGAGTGAGGGGAGAGACAGAGAGAGAGAGAGGGGAGAGACAGAGAGAGAGAGAGGGGAGAGACAGAGAGAGGGGAGAGACAAAGAGAGGGGGAGAGAGAGAGAGAGGGGGAGAGAGAGAGAGAGAGAGGGGGAGATACAGAGAGAGGGGGAGAGAGAGAGAGAGGGGAAGAGACAGAGAGAGGGGGAGAGACAGAGAGAGAGAGGGGGAGAGACAGAGAGAGGGGGAGAGACAGAGAGAGAGAGAGAGGGGGAGAGACAGAGAGAGAGGGAGAGGGGGAGAGACAGAGAGACATAGGTGGGGGAGAGAGAAGTGGGAGAGAGAGAGAGAGAGGTGAGAGGGGAAGGTTTGTAGGTTCATTTAGAAAAAAATAAGAATAACAGCGAAGAAGATGTGAACAATGGAGTTAGTTTGTCAATGGCTGAGATGTTTATGAAGCATTTAACTGGTGAAACTTCCTATTTTTTTTGTCTGTTTAGTTTAGTTCAGCAGTTGCTAACTTCATTCTCTTTCTCTCCCTGTTTTTTTATTTTGGAATTCAACCCCCAAATAAGACGAGAGGTTTTCCTTTATATATATATATAAAAGCCTTGTGTGTCGGCGAGAGGGTGAAGAATGTCTCTAGCAGATCAGAACAAAGTGTGGTCTCCCACCCACGTTAAGGTGGTGGTTCTGCAGGCCAGAGGGCTGAGAGCAAAAGGCAAAGAGGCCACCAATGATGCCTATGTGATCATGCAGTTGGGTAAGGAGAAATATTCGAGCTCGGTGAAAGAGAAGAGCCAGGAGCCTTTCTGGAGAGAGGAGGCAGAGTTTGAGCTGCCTGTGGTGCTCCAGGGAAACTCAGATAAATATACCCTGCACCTGATTGTCATGCACAGGGCCCTGGTTGGCCTGGACAAGTTCCTGGGTCAGGCCTCTATCAACCTGAGCGAGCTGAGCGACAAGAGGGCAAGCAACAAGACTGGGTAAGTCAGCCGTTTCTATCGGACCATAATATGATCATAATATGATAATCAGATAATCCTCGAATTGGATGCAACATCTTATCACGTCGCTGAGATGTCTCAAAGCGCTTCACAGGATGAGAGCCCTCGCCTCACAACACAAGCGAGAGGACCTGGGTTCGATTCCCGGCCGGGCAGAGCAAAACCTTTGGCAAGTTTTCTTACTCCACACATACACACGTGCGCCTCTGTTTACCTAGAAGTTAATTAGCGGATTGTTTTTCTAGGGGTAATAATAATTTCCAAAAAATAAATAATAATTTGGTCACTCAATCCGCGGTGGGGACGCTGCTGTGCGCATTTGGCTGCCGCATTTTGCTCACAAAACATGCAGTCACTACACTTTACAGTATATCCTGTGAAGTGCTTTAAGGCGTCTCGAACACAGGATAAGGTGCTCTAACAAATCAAAGGATTATTGTTGTAAAGGGGATTGACTATTTAAAAAAAATGTTTTTGAGGTATTATTACTCTTGGAAAGTATTCCACCATTCGACTTTAACAAGTGGGTTTGTACTTGTGCGAGGTAAACCGAGGTGTCTGGAGCAAGAAACCTGCCCACGGCCCTTCCTGGGAATTGAACCCAGGTCCTCTCGGTTGCGAGGCGAGTGCTCTAATCACTGAGTTACAGGCCTCCTCTGAGCTCACTGTCCAGGTTGATACTCTCTTTCTCTCTGTGTTTGTCTTGCCCCCGGGGGTCTGCATTCGACCCGATGGTGAAACTTCTCAAAGCGCTTCTCAGGAAATCACTGGAAAGTGTAGTGACCGTGTGTTTTGTGGGCAAGTGTTGCAGCCAAATTGAGCACAGCGATGTCCCACAAATGGTCATGAAGCGAGCGAGTGATTTTATCTGGTGGATTGTTGGTCAGACTAGTGTCCGATATCACTTAGACTCAGAGAGTTCCACTTATGTCTGCCACCTCCGGATCTATCTTTATCGCCCCATGTCTGTAATGGAAATGTCGCTCTCTCTCCCTCTCCTCCCTATTTATCTAATACTGGAGAGTATTTAAGCGCAGGTTGGCAAGAACTAAGGCTTGGGGATCCCAGAGTATGCGTTGAGTGCGTGAGAGTCAAAGCTCTAATGGCTAGAGTGGTCCTAGCTGGAAAAGAGCAGGAAAGCTGGCCAGCCAGTGCTCTCAATGGCCAAGCTGTGTGTGCTTTTAGCTGGTTAGACTTCAGCAGTTACCCCAACGCACACTCTGGGCTCCCCAAGCCTTAGCTCTTGCCCAAACTGCACCTAATACTCTCTGGAATTCGGTAAGCAGGGTGTGTTTCTCTGAAGCACATTCCATTCCAGACAAATTTGGCCAACAGTCCCCCAAATAAAAAAAATGATAGCTCAATCCATGACTGTTTATGGGACACTGCTGTGCGCAATTGGCTGCCGTTTTCCGCCCGCAAAACACACAGTGACTACACTTTAGAGAAGCTAAGGGACATTACTGCACATGAAGAGCTCTGTAAATGCAAGTTGTTGTCGTTGTTGTATCCTCCGAAACGCTTGGAGACGTCTTGACACAGAGAGACACACACAACTCGGTCACATTCCCAGCATAATTGTGTATCCCTTGAAAAAAAACTCTGAAGCCAGATTAGTTTGTTCGAGGGGAAAAGGTGGGGTTTAGTTTTGAGTTGTCAACTGAGCCCCCCCCCTCCCCCACACACACTCACACTCAAAGCTTATGGAATGTGTTTTGCATACATGATTATAGTAATCATTTTTTTAAAAAAACCTTGCATTCGATATGGAACATTATCATGGCGTTGAGAAGTCTCAATGTGCTTCACAGAATACACTGTGAAGTGTAGTGACTGTGTGCTTTGTGGGCGAAATGCAGCGGCCAGTTGAGAACAACAGCTTCCCCACAAACAGTTGTGAAGCCAGTCACCAGTTTTGGCTGTGGATGGTATTAGAAGTTAAGTTAATAGTTCTAACTTGAGAGACCGAGAGCTACTCTCATTGCCACTGGCTTTAATATCGACAACAGCTTTTAACAGTGACTTTCCGGCCTATTAGGGAGGGGTTGGATTATACACTATGTTGTGTAATACATATGTTGCTATAAGGAAAAAAGGGACTTTCTTCTCTCAGCTTCTGCTGTGCTCACTCACTTATTCAGTGTCTCATGCTTTGTTAAATCTGGTGAGATAACTAGCTGACCAACCGGGTGTCTGACAACATGGAAACCTCTGGAGGGACATACCCTGTTTACCTAATTCCGGAGAGTATTGGGCGCAGGTTGGCGAGAGCCAAGGCTTGGGGGAAAGCCCAGAATGTGCATTGGGGTAACTGCTGGAGGCTAACCAGCTAAACCCACACAGCTTGCCCACTGAGAGCCCATTGAGAGCAAGCTTTTTCACTGCTTGTCCAGCTAGGACTACACCAGGTTACAGAAGGCCATTACAATGGGGAGAGGGAAGTCTTTTGAGATGATTCATTGTTTGGCTATAAAACTACAAACATGTTTGTGTTTTGCTTTCACATGATGTCAGGCTGTGTTATGTTGAAATGACTGTTTGCCCAAGCATTCAAGTTCGGTGACATTTCTGAAGGTGTTTTCATTTCAAAGACATTTTGGTAGGCTGTGTTGTCATCATCATAATCCTTGCATTTGACACAGCACCTTATCACGTCGTCGAGACGTCTCAAAGCGCTTCACATGATATACTGTCAAGTGTGGTGACTATGTATCTTGTGGGTGAAATGTGGCAGCCAATTGCACACAGCAATGTCTCACAAACAGTCATGGATTGAGCGACCAATTTTATCGAGGGGATTGTCGGCCAGGACACCGGGAGAAAGAAACAGAGAGAGATGGAGAAACTCCCTTCTCTTTTCTAATAGTGCCGGGGGAACTTTAACATCCACCTGAATAGGCAGACGGGGAGAGAGTGAGGTTTAGCGTCTCCCACCGGCACCTGCCACGCTTCGCCCACAAAGTACAGTCACTGCACTTTACTCAAACTCAAAGTGCTTCTTCACAGAATCTTTAATATCCTGTGAAGCGCTTTGAGATGCCTCAACGATGTAATAAGGTGCTGTATCGGAGTCCTGTAGCTCAGTGGTTAGAGCACTCGCTTTGCAAGTGAGAGACCTGAGTTCAATTCCAGGCAGAGGGCGAAACCTTGGACAAGTTTCCTTACTCCACACAGAGCCTAATAATAATCCCTCCAAAACCAAAACAATAATAAATTGGTCATTTTCAATCTACGACTGTTTGTGGGACATTGCTGTGCGCAATTGGCTGCCGCGTTCGCCCACAAATATAGTCGATTCACTTTACAGTGTGTTCTGTGAAGCGCTTTGGGACGTCCTCCCGACATGAAAAGCGCTATATCAAATGCAAGGATTATTATTATTATTATATGTATCAAACTCAAGGATTATTATTATCAGTAAATGTCCTGTAGTTCAGTGGTTAGAGCACTTACCTCGCAAGCGAGACAACCCTCTCTCGTGGAATCGTTAAGCTGCAGAAAGTGGGGGAGAGTTTGTTAGTTGCTGGTGGTGGAGGAGGGATGATGGGGAGATTCTCTGAGCAGTTGTGGAACAATGAAGGCACTATGTCAGATTTGGTCATTAATCCCAAATCCGTCACCAGCACAGCCTGACCCAACTTCACTGAAATTCCTCACAAATTGTTAACCTGGTGTCACCAGTCTACACACCCCTCTATTCCGCTCTCCCACACCCCTCCCCTCTCCCTGGCCATGACCCCAGAGAAGCCGAGCGGAGGCCCAACCGTGGCTGTAATCTCAGGAAAGCCCCTCCTCTCCAGCCGTGACATCAGAGATACCCCTACAAGGTAAATAGTGGTGTGGAGAAGGAAACTTGCCCAAGGTTTCGCCCTAACCGGGAAACAAACCCGGGTCCTCTTGCTTGCGAGGCACTCGTCTCACAAGCGAGGGGACCTGGGTTCAATTCCCGGGAGGGGCAAAACCTTGGGCGGGTTTACCCAGTAGCAAGTAGGAACCCGGTTGTTAGTTGATTGATAGATCGCTTTTCCGGGAGTAACAATCCCTTCAAAACTTAAAAAAATAATAATGTGGTCACTCAATCCATGACTGTTTGTGGGAACACTGCTAATTGCAATTGGCTGCCGCATTTTGCCCACAAAACACACAGTCGCTACACGTTTACAATGTATGTGAAGCACTTTGAGACGTAACAACAACAAAATTACATGTGTAAAGTGCCTTTCACATCGGGAGGACGTCCCAAGGCGCTTGACAGACAGAGTTTTGGATCCAAGCTGGGGGTTGGGATCAAGGAGGGTGGAGGCTGGAAACAGGGAGATGGAAAGCACGGTCGAAGAGGAGGGTCTTGAGATGGGTCTTGAAGGAGGCAAAGGAGGGGGTGCTGTATCAAATGTGAGGATTATTATTATTAAGTAATCTCTCCCTCTCTCCCTCTCCCCCCCTCTCGCTCTCGGTGGTGTAAGCTGGTACAAGTTGACATCGAAGCCTGGTAAGAAACCGAAGGAACGAGGGGAGATCGAGGCCGATATCCGATTTGTGCGTAACAGTATGACGGCCAGCATGTTCGACCTGTCCATGAAGGACAAATCCCGGTCACGCTTCGGGAAGCTGAAGGACAAGGTGACGGGGGGGAAGAAGAAGGCGGGGGGTATGTCGGACTCGGCATCCGCCATCGTGCCGAGTTTGTCCGGTGGCTTGGACAGCGATGATGATCGACCCGAACCTGACACCAAGAAGAAATCCAAACTCCGCACCCTCTTTGCCAAGTCTAACCTGCAGCGGACGTCCCTGTCTCAGTCCATGTCGGTGCTGCCCACCTCCCCCCACACCATCACCACTGGTACCGATACCGAGGGTCACTTCACCGAGATCAAACTGCACACCAGCACTGACGGTAAGGCACGGCACAGCATGGCACAGCAAAGCGTGGCACAGAGTAGCATTGCATAGCATGGCACAGGGTGGCACAGCATGGACAGGATAGCGTGGCACAGAGTAGCATGGCAACATAGCATGGCACAGGGTGGTACAACATAACATGGCACAGGGTGGCACAGCGACCCATGGCATAGAGTGGCACAGAGTGGAACAGAATAACATGGCACAAAGTGGCACAGCACAGCATGGCACAACATACCATGGCATTGCACAGCTAAAGGCACAGGCACCCTGCATTTGGCTTCCGTTACCCTACAGGCGCAGGTTTAAAAAAGCGCTTCACGGGGTCTACTGTAAATTTTGTGGTTAAAGTGCGGCAGCAGATTGCGCACAGCGTACGGATTGTTATCTGTTTATTCCTGACCTGGCGGTTTACCTGACGGATTGCCCTGCGATCTTCCCCCAGAGGAAAGTTCTGGAAGGGCGGACAAGAAGCTGCATGTACCGAAGATCATGACCCACAAACGCACGGCGAGCGCCGACACCAAACAACAGAGCTTCCTGCCTGGCAGCAACGCCAAGAAAGAGGGTCTGGGGTTGGGCCTGTTTGGGGGCCTGAGAGGGAAGCCTGACTCCGGTTCACAGTCCAACCTGTGTATCAACGGGAGCCATGTGTACAGTGAGGAGCCCAGCGCTTCCTTACAGCCCAAGAACCAGGCCATTTCCCGCTCGATGCAGAACCTGACTGGACCTTTCTCTGGCTCGGTCGAAGACCTGAGGTATCCCACGTACAGAACCCAGGGTTCCACGGAGAACCTGGCCCCCAGTCTGGCCTCCGGCTTGCTAGACACCGGGGAAGATGGCCTTGAACCCAGAAGGCCCGAGCCCCCCAAAGAGGATAAGAGAGGAGGGGGCTTATTGGGTCTAGTGACCGGCAAGAAGGCGGAGCCGGCCAGCGAGACCTCCGCAGTGACCAAGGAGGCCCTCGGCGACTCGGGGGAAGAGGAGACGGAAAGCACCAGGTCTGAGGTCTTGAAAGTTCCTGTGGACAACAGGAAGGAAGAGAGTAAGAAGGAGGAGGGCAGGAAGGGGCTGTTTTCGCTGGTGACCGGCAAGCGAGACACTAAGAAGCTTGAAGTCCCCGAAGCCACCGAGGCCAAGGAACCTATGGCCGAGAGCATGGAAGAGGAGGAGGGCAGGAAACCAGCCGGGAATTCCATCTGGGCCTCTCGCACGGCGGCCAGCAAACCCAAGTGAGTCTCACTGCGGGAGTCAGGGCTCCTGATGTGAAGGCGCTGCACAAATATTATTTGTTGTTGTTGTTTGTTGTCACAGTCAGGGGAGGGGCTTCCCCTGGATCACATCCAGTAGGAGGGGCTTCCCCGAGGTCACAGACAGGGGAGGGGCATCTCCAATGTCATGGCTGAAGAGGAGAGGCTTTCCTGTGATTAAGGCCAGAGGTGGGGAGGGGCTTCTCTGGGGTCATGGCCAGAGAGAGGGGAGGGTTTCCCTCGGTCACCAGTGACTTGGTGGGGCTTTCTCCGTGACCACAGCCAGTGGGGAGGGGCTTCCCTGGGGTCGCGGCTGGGGCAGAGGCTTCCCAGCGACTGGGGGAGGGGCTTCTCAGGGTCATGGCTCTGGGGAGAGGCTTCCCCGGGGTCACCTTGAGTGGTGGAGGGGGCATTGTTGGCACATCCATTGGCACAGCCCTGGAGACTTTTCTGTTTTGTCACAGCTCTTGTCTTTAATATTTACTACTGTATAAAGAGGGACAGACACCATTTTCTTTGCAGCCGGGTGTCTGACACATGTGGAAACCCATCATCATTGCTTAAAAATCTCCAAACCCACCTACACCTGGAAATCCCAGAGATAGATTGTTGGAATAGAATGCGCACTCTCTCGCTCTCTCTCTCTTCCTGGAGGGATGCATCTTGTTTACCTAATTCCAGAGAGTATTAGGCACAGGTTGGCAAGAGCCAAGGCTTGGGGGGAGCCCAGAGTGTGTGTTGGAGTAACTGCTGGAGTCTAACCAGCTAAACCCACACAGCTTGCCATTGGTATTGCTGTCCGGCCAAGCTTTCCTGCAGCTAGGACCCCCCTCCCCGTTAGGGCATTGGCTTGCAGGGCTAATTCTTGGGATGTCCTCCCAATGTGAAAGGCATGTGTAAATGTAATGTGTTGTTATTGTTGTTGCTTTGTCTTGTCCTGTCATATGGAAGGCGAGGAATTGTGGACTATGTCAATGTGGGATGGAGTCTGTTCCGTTTACCCAAAGGAGAATAGAAATCTGGAACTCTCTCCCTCCCACAAAAGGCTGTTGGTACTGGATCCATTCAAATCTACAAGACTGAGGTGGATAGATACTTATTGGGTCAGATTATCACGGCAGATTTTTTTTTCATAGATTCATAGAATGTTACGGCACAGAAGGAGGCCATTCGGCCCATCGAGTCTGTGCAGCTCTTTGACAGAGCGTCACTCTCACTAACCCCAATCACCAGCTTTCTCCCCATAACCCCACAAACCCGTCTTCCCCAGATACCTGTCCAGTTCTCTCTTAAAATCTGTTATCGAATCGGACTTCACTGCCCTTTCGGGCAGATCATTCCAAATTCCAACAACTCGCTGAGTGAAGACATTTCTTCTAACCTCCCCTCGGCTTCTTTTGGTAGATATCTTAAGATTGTGACCACGAGTCACAGACACACCTACCAACGGAAACAGCTTTTCCTTATCTCGCTTGTCGAAACCTTTCATGATCTTGAAGACCTCTATCAGGTCCCCGCGTAACCTTCTCTGCTCTAATGGGAAAAGTCCTAACTTCTCCACTGTCCTCATAGCTAAGGTTCCCCATTCCTGGTATCATTCTCGTGAATCTCCTCTGCACCCTTTCCAGTGCCTTAATGTCCTTCCTGAGGTAAGGTGCCCAGAACTGGACGCAGTACTCCAGCTGAGGCCTAACCAGTGTTTTGTACAGATTAACCATAACCCCTACTCTTATACTCTATGCCCTACTAATGAAGCTCAGTACACCAAATGCCCTTTTTACTGCCTTATCTACCTGCCCCACTACCTTTAATGATTCGCTTACTTGAACACCCAGATCTCTCTGTACGTTCACCCCCTTAAGATTGAGCTCCAAGTCTATATTGCCTCCTATCATTTTTCCTACCTAAGTGTATCACCTCACACTTATCCACATTGAAATCCATCTGCCACATGTCAGCCCATTCCACCATTCTGTGTATGTCTGCTTGCAGTTGGTTACAGTCCTCCTCACTATTTACTACCCGACCTAACTTGGTATCATCTGCAAACTTGGAAATAGTGCTCTCTATGCCCAAGTCCAGATCATTAATATATATTAGAAAGAGCAGTGGTCCCAATACCGATCCCTGGGGGACACCGCTGCACACCTCCTTCCATTGCGAGAAACACCCATTAACCACCACCCTCTGCATTCTGTCACTCAGTCAGTTCTTAATCCAAACGGCTACTGTCCCCTTAATACCGTGGGCCTCTCATTTTTGTATTAATCTCTTACTGTGTCAAAAGCCATTTTGATATCCATGTCCACCACATAACGTCCACCGCATTTCCCTCATCAACCCTCGCAGTCACCTCTTCAAAAAATTCTATTAGATTTGTTAGGCAAGATTTGCCTTTAACAAATCCATGTTGGGGGTCTCTAATTACCTCGTGTTCCTCTAAGTAGAGATTTATTCTGTCCCGGATTATGGTCTCCAGTAGCTTTCCTATTACCGAAGTTAGGCTGACTGGCCTGTAATTTCCGGGTTTGTCTTTCTGCCCCTTTTTGTAGAGTGGGGTAACATTAGCCACTCTCCAGTCTCTTGGCACCACTCCTGTGTCCAATGAAGATTGAAATATAATGGCCAAAGCCTCCGCTATTTGAACCCGTATCTCCCACAGCAACCTTGGGTGAAACCCATCTGGTCCTGGTGACTTATCAATTTTGAGCCCAGTCAATCTTTTCAGAACTTCCTCTCTGTCTGTAGTAATCTGATCTATTTCCTCTACCCTCTCATCCAATACTGTGGCATTTGGGGCATCCATTTCCGTTGTGAAGACAACGGGGGGCAAGGGCGAGTAAATGGAGTTGAGGTACAGATCAGCCATAATCTAATCGAATGGCGGAACAGGCTCGAGGGACTGAATGGCCTCCTCCTGTTCGTATATTCCTATGTTCATTCCACCTCTAGTCAATGGCTTAACCTGGTTCCTTGGGGAGATATTGGCTCTTGAGACAGATGTTGGTGAGGCAGATGACAGAGGCTCTTCAGCAGGTACTTCTGGCCTCCCCACCCCTTCCCATTGCCTATCCCCACCCCTGCTCGCCCATCCCACTCTTTCTCACGCTCCTCTCCCTCTCCATTACAAAGGCCGTTGACCCCTGTTTTATCCTCTTTGCAGATTGGATCTCTCTCTGAAGGCTGAAACCAAAGCCCAGCTTCTGCCCTCTCCCCCACCTGCCTCCCCCCCTCCTGCTTCTGACACACCTTTTCCTAAACCCAATCCTGTCACCTCCACTCCCCAGTCTGAGGCCGAACCTGAGGAGCCCAGTGGCTCTGCAAAGAATTTCACTTGCCTCCACTTGTCCTTCAGTCCACCTCCAACTCTCTCCCAAAGGCAACGTTCCTCCTTGAAGGAGCACTCTACTCCTGGCCATGCCGACCGGAATTCGGTTCCCGAGTTCTCACCGTCGCCGGTGCCGGACATCTCCGGGACCTCCCCATCTCTCGTTGAGCCAACGAGTTTCCGGTTCCTTGTTCCGGGGGAAGACGGGGAGCGTCGCGCAGCTGAGTCTCACGGTGTTGAAGTTCACAAGGGCTTCACCTCATGCATCGCCGACAAAGAAGGGCCCCTTCTGTCTTTGAGGCAAGAGATGACCAGAGACGCGTTGGCCAAGACTGGCCGAAGGTCTTCCTTCAAGGTGGAGCATGAGCTGAAGGACCGGGATTGGGAGCAGTTGCGGGAGGACCAGGAACGTGCAAGTTCCCCAACCGACAGGACTGCTCTTGTCCAATCGGCTGTCTTGTTTGCACACCTGCCCTCGGGCACATCCACAGCAGCTCAGAGAGGTTATCTATCGGAGGTGGAGCTGAAGGTGAACACAAGTCCTGCAGTCTACTCAGGGCAGAAACCCCCTCCGATTCCAGCGCCCAGGAAAGTCATTCGAATCCAACAGGAGATTTCTGGGGAAGGAGCTTCCTTGGGTCTCGAGAAGGCCCGAGAGGACCTCTCAAGGCCCAGCCAGGATCCTGCTCTCCTTGACAAGGACCTGTTGATAGAAGACAGTGACCGACCATTGATCGAGAGCCCAGATGAAGCCAGGAAGAAACCCTCAGGTTTTAAATGGAAGGAAAATGTCGCGTTAATGGCTGAGGTTCAGGGGATGATTGACAATGTTCCCTCATGGGACTCCAGTGAGGGGGGTGAGGAGGAGGAAGATTGGGAAGTGATTGGAAGGTCAGAGGTTGACCCTACTCTGTTGCCGGGCAACTTGCCTGCTATCCCTGAGAAATGGGAGGTGACATCAGAAGATGATTTAATCACAAGTGGAGTAAAGAGTGAGGAGCCTGGTGTTTGGAAGCCAATCGCAGAGTACAGGGATGGATCTCAAAAGTCAACGATCAACTTAACCCATTTGCTCGACCTTGGGTCTGAAGATCTGGGAAACCGGGAACTGCCGAGGGCTGGGAATGATATCCCTTGGGAAATACCGTCCGGAGAAAGGAATCCGTATGGAATTCCAGCCCCTGAAATGATAAACGCAGAGCTTGAAACTGTGAGGGAACAATCTAGTGGAATGCCTTTGCTGGAGCCAGAGCCAAGTGTGAGATCCTCTGATGCGGTGGCTAAGGATAGCGATGACACCGGGAGTCAGTTACCACCTGATCCTGTTGTGTCTCCCGGTGAAAATAAGGCGTCTTCACTGAGGAACTCACAGTTGTATCTAGCTGAAGAACCTCCCAATCGATCCACGGCCAAACAGCAGGCTGCAGTTCTTCCCAATCTCGTTAAGACAGCTTCCTCTCTTGACTCCGACCAGTTGAAATATTCCTCTCCCGTTCCAGAATCCACTGCGCTCAGGCTCTCTCCCTCGCCTCCATCTTCCTCTTCCTCTCTCTCTACCCTGGCTTCCTCCCCATCCAAATGGCCTTTGTCCGATATTGCCCGCTTGACCACTGGGCCAACTACCTGCGACCTGGACTTCTCTGGCCAGAAGAGGGCTTTTGAGGCCCGGGTTTTACCCACAGAAACATGGATAATCCAGGGTCAGGGCAGCGTGGCTGGGATGCCTTCTGCAATCAGGTTAGTTTCAGTCTGGCTTTTCCGACATTCAATTGGAAACATCTCCTTTGGACTCCTTGGTTGGTTGGTGCTGGTTTGTTGGTTGGTTCGTTGGTGTATTCTCTCCTGCACCACCTCGCTTGGCTCCCCAACGCCAAGCTTCTATTCATCTTCAACCTTCACTGTTTTCATAGAAACATAGGAACAGGAGGAGGCCATTCAGCCCCTCAAGCCTGTTCCGCCATTCTATTCACTCATGGCTGCTCTGTACCTCAACTCCAATTACCACAGCCTTTTGGAGAGAGAGAGAGTAATAGATTCCCGTTAGCCTTTGAGTGTGAAAAAATGCACCCGATTTCATTCCTAAATGGCCTGACTCTAACATGAAGATGATGCCCCTTCTTGTTCTGGATTCCCCCACCCACCAGAGGAAATAGTTTGCAGCTACCCTATGGAATCCCTTTATTATTTTAAACCTCAACGAGATCACCCCTCAACTTTCTAAACTCAAGGGAATACAGACCAAATTTATGCAACCTGTCCTCGCAATTTAACCCTTTAAGCCCTTCCTGACACCATCTTCTCCTGCCTGTTCCCTCCCCTCCGCTCCACTCCTCCATTGCTAGTTGGTTACTCAGTTCCCATCCCTTGACTGCACAGACAACAACAACAACTTGCATTTATCTAGCGCCCCTTCACTCAGGGGAGATTCCCAGAATGCTTGAGTTTGTCCCAGACAAGCCAAGAGTTTGGAGGAAGAGGGCAGGGGAATGAGACTGGTTAGATTGGCTGGTCAAGGAGCAGCACAGACACACAAGACCCAAATGGCCTTTTGTCTGTGTTGTAAAGCTCTACAGTTCTAAGGCTTCAACAACAACAAGCGCACTCACCTCACAAGCGAGAGGACCCGGGTAGGAAGCAACCTTACGCAAGTTTCCTTATTCAACACACCTCTGTTTACCGAGCAGTACGTAGGAACCTGGTTGCTAGTCGAATGTTAGATTGGTATTCCAGGGCAGTCACCGCTGATGACAGCACAGCCTGGCCTGACTCATCAGTAGGACTCGGAAGAGCAGACCAGTCACTAGGGCAGGGAATCCTCCCACTCAGCTCCTGTTAACGCTGTAAGCCAAAGCCCTAATGAATAGGTTGGTGCTAGCCAGTCAAATAGAGGGAAAGCTTGCCAGGCAGTGGTATCAATGGCAAGCTATGTGGTTTTAGCTGGTTAGACTCCAGTAGTTACCCCAATATACACTCTGGGCTCCCCCAAAGCCTTGGCTCTCGCTAACCTTTGCCTAATATTCTCCAGAATTTGATAACCAGGATGTGTCCAGGGGGAGCGAGAGAGAGAGAGCGCATTCCATTCCAACAATCTATCTCTGGGATTTCCATGTGTAGGTGGGATGCAGAGAGTTCTCAGTTTGGAGACTCTTAAGCAACGGTGATGGGTTTCCGTGTGTGTCAGATACCCGCCTGACCCAAAAAAAAACTAAGGGTGAGGGGCTTTCTTTAAACTTCCCCTTGAGTCTCGTCAAACTTTTTCCCACCTTCCCCTCCTCCAATTGTGTCCCATTCCGAGATGGGAATGGGGAGGGGTGGGAATGGTTGGGTGGTCTCCTGCCCGCTGACCCCTGGCTTTGTCCTGACAGACCGCATCCTGTGAAGCCATTGAAAGCCGGAATATGGAACAGCAAGTCTCCGGAGGGCCGAGAGGGACGGAGTGGAGCAGTAGTAAGTGGAGCACTCGTCCCAACCCCTTCCACTCTCCCGCCCCCCTCTACTCCCCCCAACCCACTCCCTATACCCTCTTCACCTCCTCTCCCCCCTTCCCTTCGCTGCCTCCACTCTCCCCTCCCCACCCCAGTACAAAACAACACTGGTATAGAGCGCTGTTACGGACATGTCCAGTAGCTTAATGGTTAGAGCCCTTGCCTCGCAAGCGAGAGGACCCGGGTTTGATTCCCAGGCGGGACTGGTCGGGGCAAATTGTTGAGCAAGTTTCTGCGAAGCGCTTTGAGACGTCTCAACAACATGATAAGATTATTAATAATTATTATTGTTGTGGCAGCCAGGAAAGAGTTGCGATCAATCAGACTGACTCTTAGCGTCTTCCCCCCTCCCCCCACCTCTCTCTCTTCCCCCCTTCTTGCCCCCTTTTACCCCCTTCCCCCCAGGATGCCGACCTGTCAGAGCCGGAAGCTGCCTATGCACAGCTGACACGTGCGGAGTTGGTGCAGTTGCTCCTGAGGCAGAAGGAGACGGTGGTGAAGAAAGACGATCACATCCGCGAGTTGGAAGATTACATCGATAACCTGCTGGTGCGTGTGATGGAGACCACTCCCAGTATCCTCCGCACCGTCGCCCCTCCCACCAAGAAAGCCGAGCGGGTGTGAGAGCGAGGACCGAGCGGAGGATGGGGTTGGGGGGAAGGAACGAGTGTGTGTGAGGATGGAGAGACTATGCGGAAAGAGAGACATCCAGATTTTTCCGACACTCCGAAATGGTCCCAACTCCCCAGGGTTTAAGGGGCAGATGGATCTGCTGGGATGGAGCGCGGAGGGAAGAATCTTCTTTTACTGTCTTTGCTGGTGTCCCTGTGTGTGAGTGGGTTTGTGGGTGCGTGTGAGTGAGTATGTGGGTGTGTGGGTGAATGGATGTGTGAGTGAGTGTGTGTGTGTGGGAGTGAGTGTGTGAGTGGGGCTCGCAGTTAACCTGAGTTTCTCTTATAACTAACCAATGAAATGATTTGCTTTACATATCATACCAGACTTGTAATCCTGGTGATTCCGTGGGAATAGCTTTAAGTCTCTTCCTTTTCATTGCTCTTCCAGAATTTCACCTTTCCCCCTCCTTCCTCTCCCCCTATCTAACTCCAGTGGAATCCTTCATGGGGAGCCAGGGATGGGGAAGATAAATGGGGTTTCCTCCTCAGGGCTGAACTGGCTCCAAGGTGAAACGTTTGCCAATGACATATTGGAATGGAGACCCCCCTCTGTGCCGGTCTCGAGCCCCCGGTTCCTGAGCCAGGAGGGGCCGCAGTGTCCCAGGGCACTCACTGCTGATGGCAGCACAGCCCGGCCCGGCTCATCGGCAGCACCTGGAAGTGCCGACCAGTCACTGGGGGCCGGGAATCCTCCCCCTCAGCTCCTGGTCACCCCACAGCCAAAGCCCTAACTCACGGGGAGGGGAGTCCTCGCTGGACACTTCTGTGTGCAAATGGCTGCCACGTTTCGCCCAAAAAATATACAATCAATTTCACTTTTACTGTATATTCTGTGAAACACTTTGGGATATCTTAACTATGCTGTATCAAATGCAAAAATTATACATCTCTCTTTTCTGTGTGTGTGTGTCTCTCTCTCTCTTCCTTTCTCTCTCTCATCCTCTCCTTAAATGCAATAACAGAAATGAATGTTTTCCAAATGTACACTGTTGATTTTTATATCCGCCAAATGAAAGCTGCTATATTTCCCGCTGTGTCTTAAAGTGTAAGGGGTTTTGAGGTTTGGGCTATGTTTCGCTCGAAAGGTATAATAATGATCGCTTAAAAAAGAAAAAAAATTCAGACACTCAATCCACGACTGTTTGTGGGACACTGCTGTGTGCAATTAGCTGCCATGTTTCGCTCACAAAATACACAGTCACTCCCCTTTGAGACATCTCGACAACGTGATAAGGCTCTGTATCCAATGCAAGGATTATTAATATTATTATTATTATTATGGTGATTGTGTGAGAGGACAATGTTTGAGGTTGGTTTGTGTGAGCCGAAGCACACAGAGACATCTTGTCAGCTTCCTGCCTGGGTTCGCTGTGATGACTCCTGTGGGATGGTGTGACATTTCTTCCAGCTTTTGAGAAGAAATGAGTTTTGTTTTCCCCCGAGTGCCGTATCCCGGTTCCTCCCCCCCCCCATCCCAGAGAGTAAGGCCCAGATCTGTTCCTAACCTTTGAAGTGCTTTGAGACATCCCGAAGATGTGAATAGGCACTATATCAAATGCAAAGATTATTATAACCCAAAGGTTGAACACATGGGTTTCAGAGCGAGTTACATAGTTTGCTGTAACGCTTTCCCCCCACGGATTACTGTGAGCGTTTGTATATATCAGTTTCCACAATTGGGCACTTTGGTTTTCTTTTGATTTCACCCTTTGTTGGGGGCTGTGGGGGGGTACAGAATGAGGGGTATAGTGTGAGTTGGGGACGGGGGGCGGGGCCGTGAGGGCCGGAGTGTGGTGAGGACAGTGAGGAGTATCTTCACAAGAACTGATCAAAAAAAATCTTCAATAAAATGTTTGGGAACACGAGCGGAAGTCCATCTGTTTCCCCTTCGCTCTCATGTCTCTCGTGTGGCCGTGTGGGGGGTGCGGAGCGGAGACTTAATTTGCCCATCAAATACACAGTCACTACACTTTACAGTGAATCCTGTGAAGCGGAGGGGGGGGGTGTTGGGGATGGGGGGCAGAGCCTGGGGGGGGACAACGGGGGGGGGGGGGGGAGTGTCGGGGGGTGGGGCCCGGGGGGGGCTGTCGCGGGGGCGGGGCCCGGGGGGTGTCGGGGGGCGGGGCCCGGGGGAGGTGTCGGGGGGGGGGGGGGGGGGGGGGGGGGGGGGCGGGGGCGGGGCCGGGGGGGGGTCGCGGGGGCGGGGCCCGGGGGCGGGGCCCGGGGGAGGTGTCGGGGGGCGGGGCCCGGGGGCGGGGCCCGGGGGAGGTGTCGGGGGCGGGGGCCCGGGGCGGGGCCCGGGGAGGTGTCGGGGGGAGCGGTTGTGGAGGGGTTTGGGTTCCGCGGAGGTATTGCGGGGACACACCGGAAGTGACGACAGTGAAAGCGCTCTATCGAATGCGTTTGAGCAGAAACAGAGAGAGTGACGGTGAGACCCTCACACACCCCCTCACACACACCCTCACACCCCCTCACATACACCCTCACACACACCCTCACACACCACCCTCACTCCCCTCACACACACCTCACACACACCTCACACACCTCACACACACCCTCACACACCCCCTCACTCCCTCCCTCACACACCCCTCACACACACCCTCACACACACCTCACACCCCCTCACACACACCCTCACACACCCCCTCACTCCCCCTCACACACACCCTCACACACACCCCTCACACACCCTCACACACACCCTCACACACCCCCTCACACACACCCTCACACACCCCCTCACACACCCTCACACACACCCTCACACACCCCTTCACACACACCCTCACACCCCCACACATACCCTCACACACTCCTCACACACACCCTCTCACACACCCTCACACACCCCCACACACACACCCTCACACACCCCACACACACACCTTCACACACCTTCGCAGACCCCTCACACACCCCTCACACACCCCCTCACACACCCCCACACACACCCCTCACACACACTCCCACACACACCCTCACACCCACCCTCACACACCCCCTCACACACACCCTCACACACACCCTCACACACACTCTCACACACCCCCTCACACACACCCCCACACACACACCCTCACACACACCCTCACACACACCCCACACACCCTGACACAACCCCCACCTCACACTCACACCCCACCACACACCCCTCACACACACTCCACACCCCTCACACATACCCCTCACACACACCTCACCTCAATGTCCTGTATAATCTGGGGGTACAACGACCTGTAAAACGAGTCTGGAGGAAGGATTCCATCCAACGGTTTGTTTTTGAATAGATATTGTATCCTGTAACACAAACACACACCCACACACACACACCCACACACAGACACACACACACACACACACACACAGACACACACACACACACACACACACAGACACACACACACCCACACACAGACACACACACACCCACACACAGACACACACACACACACACACAGACACACACACACACAGACACACACACACCCACACACACACACACACAGACACACACAGAAACACACATACGAACACACACACAGAAACACAAATAGAGACATATTAAGAGAGACACAGACACACACACACAGTGTTAAGAGTTGATGCAAATAGAGGTAGGTACCAATAGAGGCCCGACCCCCATTGCCCCTCCCCCAGTGCCCCTCCCCATCCTCCCTGCCCCTCCCCCAGTGCCCCTCCCCATCCTCCCCCACCCTCCCTGCCCCTCCCCCACCCTCCCTGCCCCTCCCCTACTGTCCCGCCCTCCCCCAGTGCCCCTCCCCATCCTCCCCCACCCTCCCTGCCCCTCCCCTACAGTCCCGCCCTCCCTATCCTTACCACTTCTCTCACACCCTCCCCTCGCCCCCACCCACCCCGCCCCTCCCCCCCTGCCCCCTCCCCCTCTCACCAGCCCCGTCGCTCCGACAGCCCTTTCCACAGTGAGTCGGTCCGCACCATCCGCTCCATCAGCTTTTTCCAGAGCATTCCGTCCGAGATGACTCGGTACCATTCCTTACACACCAGCTCAGCCGCGCAGAGCGAGCGGGCGTCCAGGAACCACAGGATGTTCTCGGCGATGTGGTCCAGACCCCGGGCTGGGGGGGGGGGGGGGGGGAGAGCAGAGAGGGCAGTCAGCGTCAGCCACGAGAGAGAGAGAGAGACGCATCAGAGTCTGTGTTGGGCGTATCTGCCGGAGTCTAACCTGCCAAACCCCCACCGCCTCCCCGCTGCTTGTCCAGCCAGGACCCCCCGCCCCGTTAGTCAGGGCTTTGGCTGTGGGGTTAACAGGAGGGTTCCCTGCCCCCAGTGACTGGTCGGCCCCTCCAGGTCGTGCCGATGAGCCGGGAAGTCGACCGCAGACCATCACAGAGGGACTTTCTACCCCGTCATAACCCGTCTTCACCACAAGAGGGAGACACCCCCTCCGCTCGAGGTCGCCCTCCGGTGGCTGCCCCCCAGCACTGCTGGAGGCGTCTGGGAATAAAATCACCCGAAATATGGCAAATCTTACGCCTAATGCCGGTCGTCTCCCGGAGCTTCGCGAAAATCGGGGGGAAGTGCAGTGACCGCGCGTTTTGTACACCAGTGCAACAACAACAACACGATTGCATTTACAGAGCGCCTTTCACGTCGGGAGGACGTCCCGAGGCGCTGCACAGTTGGGTCGACCAACGTGCGCACAGCCACATCCCTGCAAACAGCTGCGAGGAGAGGAAGCGAGCAGTTTTGTCTGTGGGGATTGTCGGACAGGACACCGAGAAAAAGAATAACTCCCTTCCCGTTTCCGACAACACAGCGGGATCTTTAACATCTGCCAACCTGCACCTAATACTCTCCAGAATTAAGTAAGCACGGTGCATCCCTCCGGGGGAGAGAGAGAGGGGGAGGGAGGGAGAGAGAGAGAGAGAGAGCGCATTCCATTCCGACAATCTCTCTCTGGGATTCCCATGTGTAGTTGGAACGCAGTTGGGTTTGGAAGCTCTTGAGCAACAGTGACGGTTTTCTGTGTATGTCAGACACTCGGTTGGCAAAAAACAACAGATATGAGAACCTTGTAGCCTCTGGACTAGATCTAGAAAATAATATCTGGGAGATAGTGTACAGTTTAGTACACATGTCAACATGTCAAGCCACTGACAGGCGAATTTGATGGACTTTGGTCTTACAGAATCACAGAATTACACAACATAGGAGGCCATTCAGCCCATCGTGCGTGTGCCAGCTGTTTGTCCCACTCCCCCCCTTCCACCCCACCTTTCAGGCAATGCATTCCAGATCCCAACAAGATCCTCTTTTGCCGAGCAAATTCTTATGTTGTCCTTTACAACCCAAGTGTTATCCTCACAGCTGTCCCCACCTCCCCATTTCCCCCCCCACCACTCGTTGCCCCCACTTCCCCCGTACCGGGCAGGGCTGTGATGAAGTCCCTCTGCAGCATGGGCTTCAGGTAGGAGTTGATGTGTCCGTGCTGATAGTGGCACATGCGAGAGATCAGGTTCTCCACAAACTCCACCTGGTCTGTCTCCGTCCACTGGTCAAAGTATTTCACACACTGTTCTTTCTGCTTCTCGTAGCTGCTGGACGGTCTGCGTTGGCGGGGGGCGATCAAACCTGGGGGGCCGTTACTCAGCTTTGTCTGTCGAGAGGGTGGGGGTAAAGGGAGGGAGGGAAAGAGAGAGACTTCAGAAACACAGATTTGATATCATGCAGAGTGCTGTAGCTCAGTGTTTAGAGCGATCGCCTCGCAAACGAAAGGAGCTGGGTTCGTCAGCGCAAAATGTTGGGCAAGTTTTGTTTCTCCACACACACACACAACATACACACACCACACACTTCACACACACACACCGCACACACACACACCACACAGACACCGCACACACACACGGTCTGTTTACCAGCATGTAAAGGGTTATTACCCCCGAAAAGCGATCCACCTGACTTCTGGTAAACAGAGGTGTGTGGTGTGTATGTATGTGTGTGTGTGTGTGTGTGTGTGTGTGTGTGTGTGTATGTATGTGTGTGCGTGTGGAGTAAGGAAAGCTGTCCAAGGTTTCATCTGCCTGAACATGGTACACAGTGAGTGAGGTTGTAGAATGGCGTCTCTGACAATACGTTGCTCACTCCCTCTCTCTCCCCCCCAACACAGTCCAGCTTCAGCCTGGACTATGAGCTCAGAATTCTTGACGCACATGTGTGTGGGGGGGGGGGGGGGTGGGTGGGGGAGGAAGGGGCTCGAACCCACAACCTCCTCACTCAGAGCCGAGAGCCTGAGAGATTAGAGCCAGGGGCTGACGCACACAAATCCGGATATCAACTAATAAAATAACTTGTATAACTAACCCCTCACTGCGGAGGGGTGGGGGGGCGGTGGGGGGAGGGGAATTATGCAGGGGGAGCTGAGAGGGTAATAGAGACAGAGGAGGGGTTGCTATTCACCTGGTTTAAAGTGTTCTTTTCCAAGACCAATTTCTTCGGACTGTCAATGTCATTGTGGCTGTCTCTCGCAGAGGAGTTCTGAGGGCAAAAACAGGGGTGAGAGAAAGAGGGGGAAAGTGGGGGAATTATATCAATACCATTTGTACACAGACTCCCCAATGCACACACCGCTACCCTCTGCCCACCTTTATACACCCACACTGGCCCCCACCTTAAAGACACACACACACACAACACCCCCCACCCCCCATTTTTACACACCCACTACTCGCCTTACACATACATGTGCGCCCCCTACACATACGTACACTCAGCCCCCGGTCCAAATTGAAACAGTTTTTCGATCGCATTATTTATATCAATAAGAATACAGTAATAGCTCAATAGGTGAAGAGCGATGGGAGGTGAGGGGAGATGGGGGCAGAGATGGGAGAGGAGCTGGGGGAGGGGAGATGGGCGCAGAGATGGGGTTTAGGAGAGACGGGGGAGAGGGAAATGGGGGGAAGGGGGGATGATGTTCTGACTTACCATATATTCCACAATGGTCTCGTGTAGGAGGGATTCGGAGTCCATACTGTCAACAAACACAGCCCCCGACACCTCTCACTCTCTGTCACCTCCTCACCTTCAGTACACATCCCACACAGAGAGAGTGTTAGAGACAGACAGACAGACAGATAAACACAGACACAGAGTGAGA